GCAACCTGCTGTAGGGAACCTGCTTTGGCAGGGGGGTTGGACTGGATGATCTCCTGAGGTCCCTTCCAACCCCTATGATTCTGTGATTTGTGATCAGTGATGACAGTTTTTATTTAGAAGTACAGATTCAATAAATGAACAAGTCAAAGTGAATCCCTTAACAAAGATGACCCTAAGTACATTTCCAAAATGTATTTCTCATCAATAGATCTCAAAGTTCTTTAGAAGAATAGTATTTATCATTATCCCCAATTTAAACACAGTAAAATGATTAAGAGAAGTGAAACCTCAAGTGAGCACCACAAAGCACTGACCAAGATGGGTCTAGTCATTGTGCTCCTCTCTGCTTCAAGCATGCCAATATACATCAATCTGTTTTTACACCAGCTACTACTACTAGCTGCAGCTACTAAACAAAAAGTATTTTACATGACTGGATTAGTCATTCCTATAATCCCACACACAGTAGTAATTCTTAAAGACTTTTTTAATTTAATGTAAGTATGCGCACATATATGAATGTCCATGTACGTATACACACACACAATTTAAACAGGAAATCTGAATGCAAGCACAGCATCCACAATACATCACTCACGACTCTTACCTTCAGGTTTACCTAACAACAACAACAACAACAAAAATAATCAGGGTTTAATGAAAATCAGTATAGATCTCAAAATAAATGTCAAAATTTAGACCCCTAACAATTAGTCAAAAATCAAATCCAATTAGAATCATATTCCCAGTCTCAATCAAATCACAGGTCTTCATAAGAAGACTTCTATATATATTTTAATATAAAAACTAAAACTAATCAGGAAAAATTACTGTTAAAAATAAATGCCTTCTATAATTTTACCATAACACAGGTATCTTAGAAGAGCATGACTGCAATACGTAGATTTAGATCTCTCATGAGTTCTGCTGTTTTGTTAAATGCAGTAACAATCCGTGTAATGCTTAACTTCAGGCAACACATTGAACACAGAAAAAATTCCTGCTGTCCTGGATTCCCTAAAGCACACTGAAATTGCAAAGACAACTACAGTGTATTTTTCTCCACTGGAGGGAGAAAAATATTGATTCTATGAACTCCTGTAAAAAGTATGCCTTGCTTTTACATTTATTAGATGAGTACATATGGGACAAAAGCCTGAAATAACTCTGTGAATGCTGTTAGGAATGATAAGCACTACCACAGATTTATTTCAAAAGAAAACACATGAAAAAAGAAGGGTACACACTGCATTATGAGAACAACAAGAAATTTCTATCTGGAAGGGCAATCAAAAAATAATTTATTTATATTTACTTTAATTTTAATGTAGTGTATATTAAATACATTTGCACCACTGAAGGGCCTCCCTATATTACCCATACATTAGCAGCTGCTTTTTCTCATTTTTAGGTTTAGATTATTAAAAGAGAACAAGAAAAAAAATAGAGTTAAAATAAAATGGCATTTGTTATGTAAGATGTTGATTCAATGTATGCTTTCTATAAACTCACCATAGAAGTGTCCAAAGCCCATGCTGATTGCAATCACCAAAGCTAGTATGATGCATCTGTTAAGGCCACTACTGAACTGGCGCTGGTGCTGCTCTTCTCTGGGAGGTTCAGACTCCAGATCAGCAGGTGACCCACCCTCAGCCTCGGAGCTAGAGATCAGCCTCTTCTTAGCCCGACGTTTCCGAACGGTGGGACTGGACTGATTGCTAGTTTCATCACTACTTGATTCATCATTGCTAGCCTGAGATGAAAAAACTGAAAACCAACACAGAACAGTCTTTAAAATGCATTAATTGTTGCTTTAAAAATCAATTTGAGTACCAAAAGCCATCCTAATTATGCAAAATGTATTTGGCATTTATCTTTGAGAACCTTAATAAAACAAAATAAAAATTCTCAGTGTGATAGTTTATGCTGGATACTACACAAGGAATGCTTGATCTCCAAAGTTAAAAAAATCATTTTTTAAAAGGAAAAGATAGAGAAAAAACAATAAATCATCAGCAAAAAAAACAGTATGGTACTTCCCCATACCTCATAATTCACTTATGATAAAGAGTTTCTTTCAGACAATCCTGCCTCTTAAAGCACCTACTGTACTGCCTCTGCAAATTCTTGTGAAGTATAAAAGTTAAGAATTCTGTTTTCTTTCTCTTACACATATTGAAACTGAACTACTTAATAACAAAAAGGCAACAGAAAGGCTTGCTAAAAGAAAGCATCCTAAAAGACAGACATGGCTTTATTATATTCTCTCAAAAAAACTTCTCTCTCTGATCTACATGCAGCTGCAGACAAAATTACATTAAAGTCCATTAATGTGTAGAAATTATAAATATCCAAACAAAGCTTTGCATTGCAAATCTAAATACATAATTTTGTTTACTTTTACCATCTACCATATACTACCTATTAACATCTTTGCCCACCTTTCAAAAGCCATTTTCAATCACTACTGCACAAGAAAAGAACCACTTGGGTGCTTCTGTGTTTGTCCCTCCCTAACACTCTGAATCCAAAACTCTCCTATTAACTGACTGGTGTTTTGGAAGATTGAATCAGCCAAGATTTAAGATAAGAACAAATTCTAACCATAAAATATATCTTTTGTGGCATTTTTTTAAATGGTACTTATGATACCATTTGTATGTTCACATTCCTATGGCCTAAAAGCCATGTTATTTTCTAACTGTGAAAACAACAATAGAGCCATAATTTATTGTTGCTATTAGTAGTGCAAATGATTGCTGTACGTACTGTAAATAAATTTCTATAATCCAGGACAACTATACAAGTAAAAAGTATTAAATTTCCCTCCTTTGAAAGCATAATTTTCAATTGAAAAGCAAGTATCATGGGGAAGCAGTAGCAGGGTGAAAAAGAAGCTTTCGAATATCTCTGTTCATGTACCTAATTCACATGCCTGAAATAGGTGACCAATGAAACTTCCAGCACATGACATGCTCCTGCACAGACACTAAATTTGATGCCCACAATTACACAATGTTAATGCCCCTTCTCAAAATATGGCTGTTCATTCTCATATCAGAGATCATCACTCAGATGTAAAAACATAAATACAGAGTTACTTTTCTTGAACATTTCACAACTGAAAATCATTTGTTTGAGCAAAGCCATGCACACATCACCAAACTGACAAGAATGTCAAGCAGTGCCAGCCATTATCTATAAAAACCATTACCAATAAAGATTCTTCACTGAAAATACATTCCAACTTAATAGAAGTTATTACATCAACCTCAAAAAAGATTACCAAGTAGTATCTGGAATACATGTCTAATTTCTGACTCCATGGACAAGCAACAAGTCAGATAACAAAAGATAACTTCCTCTCTTATTAATTTAAAAAAAAAAAAAAAATCCATTTCAGTCAATTAGTCAAACCAGACTGACCAAGCAGACACTGTGATAAAGACAAATCACTTAAACAGCTACTTGACATGCAGATTCTTAAATGAATTTATATAGCTTGATAGAAAATGACACCATTTTAGAATCAGTCATTTAAGCAGATGCATACTTCCCCAATCCTGGACAATGAAGACAAGCATTGAGAAATTAGTCAGGAGAGAGGTATTTTTATTAGAATGCAGAGGTCAGACATTCTTTGTAAGACAGGTGTTGTTATTTCTCATTTGGTTTTTTTTAGGGTTTTTCAACAACCAAAGAAGCTTACACATATAGAAAACAAAAGTAGCTAAGGAACAAGCTGCTTCCAGACAAATGGGAAATTCTTTGATGTACATTGGACAGCAAAGTATAGGAAAGAGGGTGGGGAGGCGGAAAGAGAGAGATGATCAGAAATCAAAGAGAAAAAGCTGTAAGACACTTAGGGACATTCACAAGCACTTACTGGCAAATTGTCAACAGCACTACACTTTCAGGCAAGAATGACACTGCCTTACAGCTATGGTAAGAATTCAGTACAAAACAGTAACATCCACAGGTTGAAAAAGAGTATAAATGAAACAAATCGTGACCACAGTAGCAGTCCAAAATTCTAGCTTCTGCTATGACTTTGAAGTGTCAGATCTACACTAGACACCAGGCAAAGTAACAATGTCAGTTGAAATGTGCTTTTCTTTGACATTTCTGCACAGACATATCTCAAGCCTAGTTAACTTCATTCATGAAGCAATATTAAAACATTTCTGTTTGCATGGTGAAGACAGCCTAAACAGGAATTGGTTTGCAAGCAAAAGCGGCAGAAAATTATTGTAGAATGTTTTAGTATCTACATTAGGAAAATCTGAAGCTCATCCTTTTCCAACACAGCAGAAAACACAACAAGAAGTGGATGGCAAAGATTTCCATTGCCAAAAAGCGGCATGAAAGTTCTGACTGCTAAAACTTTGGCATTTAAAATAAATGCAAAAGTACTCCAGACATGTTCTATAAGACTTGGTCAATCAAATACACAGCACTAAAGACCATGCTGAAATCAGGTTCAGTTAGAAGGAAGAAATTCTTTTTGCGAGTCACACGTGGATTTGGAATCCAACTAGAACCATTCATTTAAATGGTCAAGCATACACATTAAAAAGTATTACAAAGCCTACTGATGCCCATTCCAAATTTACATTTAAGTTTAACATTTGTCAAAAAAGCAAATAAAACACTGACAGCACAGCCAAATTCTTCAGAGAGGACTGGCTTTCAGCATCTGTTTGGAATATCACTACTATAAGATCAAGTCAGATGGCTACTGATAATTTTAAGAGCACTCCATGCAAGCCATAAGCAATCAGCTTTACACAAGCTGATCAAATTTAATCACACCACCTTGGAAAGGAAGACTGTGAGACACATGCTCTTTCACCTCATTTCCCCATCCCCTTACACAATCAGGAATCTTCCTCAGCTTCTCCAGCCAACTGACTTTTGTGTACAAAAACATGGGGGGGGGGAAAAAAACAAAAACATTTTTAGAACTCAGCTCTAAAACAAAAGAGAAAGTCCACTACACTTAAAAATTAAGTCAAGTCATCCAGGAGACAAAGGCAACAGCTTTGTTACGAATCATCATTGGTCATAATTAGATGCTAAGCTGTCATTTTCCGATTCCAATGGATACTATACAGATACATGAACTTTTAACAATGCTTTATTCTACTTCTAAGATAAAACAGAATTTTAAAGAAAATTCTGCTCTTGTAATGAACTTACTTGGAAAGGTTAGAATCAGTAACACAAAAGTGTAATAGAGTATAAAGAGAAGAGAAAGGATTACAAATAAGCAGCCAAACAGAATTTAAAAAGGAAGACTAGAGAACTAGAGAATAGTAACACAACAGTAAGGATTTTTTGTTTGGGTTTGTTGGGGGGTTTTTTTGTTGTTTGTTTGTTTTTAGTAGTCCAAATATTCATTATCTTCCTTATGAATATCATGTGTTGCATTTCTGCCAAGTACTGTGAGTATCTTAAAAAAATACATATTTTTTTTTGCTTACCTACATAGCTACATTCTACCTAGCTATGAAGGTAAGCAAAAAGTTTTTGTAGTCATGCTGCTATTAGTCCTTGTGGACCCAAAAATAGATTCTCTCCCAGTTGGTATTTATTTATGTCAACTCCATAAGAGTAAAAAAAAAAATCGCCAAGAGAAAACCTCTATTCTATGAACTAAAAGTCACCTTAAGTCTCCAAAATATGCTATAAATTTACTTTCTATTTAAAATAGTGAATGCTTAAAGGGAGAGAACACTTTCAAATAAGATGATTGCAGATATACATTTGGACAAAGTTTTAGAGTTAGGGCAACTAGAGTTGTCCTAGACACTGCAAATACTTGGACATGTACTCAATGAGACCAATTCTTTTTTTCCCCCTCTACACATAAAGAGGGTTCCCTCCGCAAAGATTTTTTTCTTTTTCCCCTCCTGGTGACATTTTTACACACAGTTGCTTAGTAATTTATTGCTCTTACCTGTTTCTATATGTGAAAATGCATATTGACTGCTAGAGGAGGAACCCATATTAAAATCCTCACTTTGGGCTTCTTCACCATCAGCTGGAGCTTCCTCCTGACTTTGAGTTTCTTCTGGTTTTGGAGCTTCAAGTGTAACAATGTCAGAATCATCACTAATAGTTCCAATGCAGGACCCATCATCAGGGATTTTTTCTTTCTTTCCCTAAAAAAATGGACAATGTAAGCATTATTAAGATACATATCAAATAACTAAAAAAAATAGCAGGAATTCTAATGCTTTAAAAAAAGGAAAAAAATCAGTAGCTTTATTTTAATGCTTTCAAAACATTGTTTGGCCTTGTCAGATAGGGCTTACAGAAGCTTCTGAATACAGTAATTTACCTCTGGAACTGTCTGGGTTTCCTCAAAAGCAGAGAGGGTATTGTCTGTCACTGGTATCTCACCATCACTGTTGCACTGAGCTATATAAATAAAAAGATGAAAAAAACAAACAAACATGGGATTAAAACCAGTGACTCCACAAATTATGCCCACTCCCATATAATATTAAAATATGTGTAATCATAACAGATTTCTATTATCTACTCATATCAGGGAAGGTTTTCCAAAAATACACTAAATCTCATTTTTAATATCCCTCTAACAAACATCAGAATCCTGTTTGTCATTACTTAATACAATGTTTTGAAGGATACTCAAACTCAAATGCTCATACTGATGATAATGCAAATAATCTATAAATGAAAAACACAGTTACATAAAAACCAACACTGTCCTGTAAGTTGACACCACAGTACATTTGTATGCTAGGATAATTAAAATATTTTCCAGATAGTCATTGGAGTTTTAAGTATCTAAATCTGTTTTTACAAGGACAGGTTATGAATTTGTAAACATGGCCAACCTCAAATTCAGACAACTGCACACTGAACCTGTCAAGTCTGTGTTCTCCTATCAGTATTAACAAATTGAGTATTAAATTTAGTAAAGTTGAAGGATTTTCATTATATTAATATGCAGACTTATACTTCCAATTCAAGAAATGCTAATACAGTGCCATAATGTCATTTTTTAGGTGTAAAAGCATTGATGGTTCCCTTCAAATTACTCTTATTTGACCTATGATATTATTAAGGAATGTTTAATATATTAATTTTTTTTATCAATAGCACTTCTATAAACTATCTTCCAGCAACACCAGTGCATACTATTCTATAACACATCTAAAAGATTGACAAACTTAAATACATTCTACTAATTTCATCTATTTCAAGAAAAAAAAAAAACTTTTATAAAGTTGATGCCTGAATATTTTCCATAACACTGATGAAGCAAGTAATCTGACGGAGGCCTACAAAGTATACAAAATCTATTAAAAATACTAATTTTGTGCTGATGCTACAACAGACATCTGTTTTAAGGAACTGTTCTTCTTTCAAAATCTTACCCTGCAAATCAATTGGTTGCTCCTCTTCTTGCAAAGAAATGTATTCTTCTGAAACAAACTCATGGTTATCATTTGTGCTTCCATTTTCTGAAGTCACCGTCTCTATGTCAGAACCCTGAAGAGTTTCAAATGAACACTACAAGTTACTGGGATTTTCATTAGTAAAGCAGAAGGAAAGTGTTACAAAGAAAACAGAACATTAATAATAAAAACAGAAAAGAAGAATAATAACCTTTAAAACTGAAGAATATTTTAAGCAAACAAAAGCAAGAGAAATACCAAGTAATTAACTAGAGGGAAACAACTGTTAGTGTGTAACACTTAAGACCATAATTGATAAAAGGCAGAGGAGGACAATTCTAGGGATTTTTTTTTTTTTTTTTAAAAGATATTTAGGCAACAATTAACAACAATGCTAAGTATTTTAAATAACTATTTTCTATTAGCTTTATTAGACCTCTTTATTAAACAGAATTTAGAGAAACAGAGGAGGTTGTCAAATTAGTTTTGAATATGGGATCTAACTCTTGCACACATGTCCATGTATTGTCATCCTTCCAAAAAATGGAACTTCCAAGAGTACCACCATGAACTCTAGTAAAGTACTAGTATGAAAAAAAAATATGTATAAGTCTACTCCATCTCAATTCATGGCAGCAAATTTGAATGGCTGCTATAATAGTACATCTCTGACACCAGGAAAATAAATATTTATACAATCTCTAAATTGGATTTCTGTCTTTAATCCAGAAAGGAGCCGTAGTTATTAGTCAGCTGCCAGTCACAAACAACCTCGGAGCAAAACAGGAACTGAAAGTAAACAATACTTAGAGACTGCAGGGCACTGAAGGTGAGCAATATAGTTGACAACTCAAAATATTTAATCTTCATATTGTAATTTTTGTTTAAAAGAACAAATTATAAACATGCAAAACATAACTGAAAAACACTAAGTCACTCTGATCCATAAACAACTTGAGCTGTTTTTGTAAACAGAGATAGTTATTTTTGCAACAGTAGGTGTGAAGTTACAGTAGTATTAATACTCCAGATCAGTTTTCCTAGATGCCTCATTTCAGGACTCAAGCAAACATGTATGCTTTTGTTTTTAAGAGGAGACTGTATTGCACAAAGATTAGACACCTCAAAAAGAGTTGTGTAAGATTCATTCTACAATCACATTACAAAATTATGTTCCTTTTTAAAAGGCTTCAAAAATTAACTGCTTTAGTAATTTGACAAATACTTTTTATTTTTTCTTTTTACAACAAAAATTCTATAGTATTTCAAATTTGCTTAATCCTTAGCTCTATCCCCTTCCTAAATATCCAAATCACTTCCCCAAAGTATACAGTAGTCCACATGTCACCCCTTTCCTAGATAACAAGTGTTTGAAGGGTATATAGTCATCCCACTCATTCTACTTTGTTCATGCTCAGATTCAAAGTTGTTTTGCCAGGAGAATGACAATAATGGGAGCTCTTAGACACCAATGTTCTCCCAACCCAACCAGAATTATTTTATTTCTTTTAATCAAGGAAGAACAACTGTGAACAGAAAATCTCTACACCACAGAAATCTCTTCTGCTTTGGCTAGTAGAATCCTCCCCTTCCTATAATCTTGTATTATGTTCATTTATTCAGACTGCATAATACATTTTTGGTTACAGCATAAAGTAACCATCCCAAGTATGAAAATAAAGCCTGCAATTCACAGCTGAGTAACACAGCTATTGTAGTCAACTCCTAAATCCTTTCCCTTTTATTAGAAGTCTGTAAAGCCCAGCAGCCTGTGCACTTCTGTACCCTGCCTGGTCTTTAGGACTGGAGCAAGTGGGTTTTCTGTTTCCCTTGATGTCAGGATTCCCAACTTGCCATCCAACCCAAAACAAGGAAAAGAACTTTTAACCATCTCTTAAATATCACCTTGCTGCCAACAGAAATGAAACCACACCCAACATTTATAATTCACAAACTTTATCTCTTGCTTTTGAAACTGAACTGAGCTTTCAAAACTTGAGTACAATCACAAGCTTGCAATGGTTTGCCTTTCAAACTCCCCAGATTTTCATTATAATCTGCAAACAGGGGAGCATGCAGGCAAGGAGAAACAGCTGACCACTACTCATTATCTCTTCCCATTATTTCCTGTTTTCCTCCTATGAATTAAGTATCTCAAGGATTTTTCCTTGAAAATGTTTTGGGGCACACAACAAGAAGATACAGACAGCCAATACATAAGCATCATTCCAGGAAAACAATCAATCCATTTGCTCAGAGAATTCTGGCTCAATAACCTGTTCAGTTTACAAGACAACACTAAATACTTAAAACCAAAACACTTCAAAACTCAAACCTCCTCAGAGAAGAATCTCTTACCACACCCAAGGTTCTTTCAGGCTGTTACAGCTTTTAAGACCAAGCATAAGGATGGCAGCCCTCACCAAGCATCATTTTAAGCTCTGAGAAGGCTACACTTCTCATTCTTGAGCTTACAGCACAGATGTAAGGAGAGCTGCCCTGCCCTCCCATCACCTTAACTTCTCAGTAAACCTAATAAAATGTTGTCTTTGCTTTACTTGCTGCAGCTTCCCCCAGGTTCCACTTGAGGCAAGAAAGCTCGAGAAAACTTCAGCATCTTGGGTATGGAATATATAATTATATACTCTCTGTAACATAACCCTCTCCAAGGGGATTTCCAACCAATCTTTGCAACACTCTTGATTTCTGGAGACCAAGACCCTCTCAGCTCCCCATATCTTTCCTTCTCGATGCAGAAAAGCCTTCCACAGAAATAAAAAGTGCTTAAAAGCGTGCAAATAAGACCCAACAGGCCTATGCACATCTCTCTCCAAACTGTCTCAGCACTCTGTAAGCAGAGTGAAGAAAGATTAGAGCAGCACATCTTGCAGATGTCTTTGCACCAGTCCTCAATTTCCTGAAGCTCAGAGGCTCAACTCAAAGACAGATTGTTCCAGTCAGGAACAAAAGCACAAACAGAAATACAAGATAAGGGCTATAGCATTCACATGAGTCTTTAAAACACCTTCTACTAAAATTCTAGTCATTTAGAATAAACCTGTCTCTACCCTATTTTTCACAGTAAGAAAGACAGAAAGTCAGGACAGAGGGCTGTTCCTAAACAGCAACTGTTGAAGCTACTAGGATCAGCCAGCTTAGTGGCAGAAGGCACTTGAAGAAATCATGGAATCATTTCCTTCTGCACGAGATATTTTTCCTGCCTATTATGCCCAACCTTTTTTTTTTTTTTTCTTTTTTTTTGAAGGTGGTGAAAGGGAATTTGGAAGGAAAAGAAGAAACATATAAGCAACAACAGACAAGCTAGATAGAATGTCAGTTATTTCAAGAAAGATGGAACAAAGGAGAGTAGCTCACTAAAATTCTAGCAATTCTTCAAAGTAAAACCTCTGAAGAAAAAAAAAATTATTTTAAACAACAAAATGTATATCTGCTATAGTAAAGGAAACATTTTTAAACAGTACTTTTATGTTTTCTTATTTATAAATCTCTCTTCTGTATTCACTGTTGATATGCAAAGTCCACACAAAACAAAAACTACAAAGTTGAAATAATATTTTACGGCATATAGCTAGTCTTAAACTGACAGAACTTTATTAACTTGAGATTGAGTACCTCATGATTGATGACAGTCCAGCCACAAGATGAATCACTGTCACTGGAATTTTCAGACATTTTCAAAGCACACTGCAAGTAAAAGTAGATTCTTTTAACATGCAAGGTATGTAATTTCATGGCTCTCTTGAAAAAAATAAAGAAAACATAAGAATCGAAATCATGATGTTACAGAACACTACACTGACTCACAAATTGTTTCTGGAAAAAAAAAAAAGATAGAATAAAAGTTTAGAAAGAAAACATATTATTTAGTACATATCTCCTATTACCTTTGTTATACTTGGAGCAAATATGGCTTTGCTAGGTACCTGCCTATTTTAGCCAGCCAAGAAGGTCTTAGAGTAGCTAAAAACACACACACACGGCTAGCCAACAGGTCAATAAATTTAAAATTCATCTGTAGCACCACTATTTAAGACATGTTTCAGTAGGTGAAGTAATTTCTGAATTGTTACATGCATAGGAACAACAGTTTATTCAAGAAAAACACCTTTTTTGGAGAAGACACAAATTAGGATCTTTTGGAATTAATTCTCTTCAACTACTGCACAAAACAATGTTTCACGTTTCTTTCACTCCTTTCAAGTACTCTTAAAAACACCAATTCTGAAGCAAATTGAGAGAGTACCTGGTGAGCACAAAAGCAGAACAAAAAAACCTGAAGTACAAATTTTGCATGTTACAATACTACCAGATGACACTGGTAGTTATTTTCACAAGAGATCTGTCTGGCTGCCTATTTATTTTCTCTCCTGTACCAGGAATATATAATATTCATCATTGTTACATTCAGATTATTTTTTAAAGTTCTTAACTAATAGAAAGACTTTAAAAAGAAACAGAATGCATTTCTTGTTCCTTAAAATAAAAATATATAAAGTTGATAAATAAAATTTATTATAGATTTATCTCCAGGGGAAAAAAAAAAACCTTTCCAAAAATCAAAGAATTTCCAATCAATTGCGTGTTACATTATGCATCTATTGTAATATAACAGCAAAAGAAATCATGGTTCAATAAAGCTGTCAATATAATTGCCATTTTATAGAAAAGCAGAGAGTTCTGAGAACTTCAGACATCTGCTTTATTACCCACACCTAGATCTTCCAGTAAGAACACAGAGAAAAGAACCTATTTGTTTACATTTATTTACTCTCCACTTTATTATCAATCCTGTCTTTGCTCTCAGTTTGTTAACACAGAATATACACAAACTTTGAATCAAAACATCTAAATATGCCAGAGTGGCTATAAATCTGCACAACAAAATATGAAACTTCCAATTCCATTTAGGTTTCTTAAAAAATACAGTAAACATTTGACTTGTATCTCTGCATTACGGTAGTTATGTTTTTCTAATAAAATATTTTTTCCTCATCATCTTCAACTAATATACTTGGGGTTCTTCTGTAAAAAAGGCAATGGGAAACAATCACAACCACAGTTTATAAAGCAAAAACATTCACTCACTATCAACTTAGTTATCAGCCTTACAGAGAAACTGGATTTCCATTTAATATAAAGCCATACTTTGAATATGGTTGTCATTTTCCTTTAGATCTTTTTCTTCCTTAATTAGTGCTTTTCCTGGAATCTCAGCTAGGGACAGGGTTGGGGGTGGGGGGGAGAGCAGGGGGAGAGCACGTTTTGGTTTGGGTTGGTTGTTTGGGTTTTTTTAATCATGCTGTAGTCAGTCATCAAAATCTTTTTTAAATAATGATTTTTTTAAATCATACTTCTTCCATCATCAAAACAACAAACATCTAAATGGCAAAGGCTGCGTTCCAGAGTTCTCACAACAAGATGACATTAATGCTTGCTGTCATTAAATCATTCTGAATGTGACCAGGCATTCAGCAGCAGCATTCCTTTCAGAGGAAGGCAATTACCAGCACCAGAACTTGCCACCTATCAGAAACATCACTGGCTACGATGCAAAAATTGCACTGGTAATCTGAAATTATCTTTTAAGAATTCTCTTCAGTATAAAAACATTCCCATTTCATTATTCTACAGTTCAATGAATAAAGCAATCATAAGAGTATCAAATTTATTGTCACTGAAAACCAAGGCTTTTGTGTAACCACAAAAAATACAGTTTGGTGCAAATATAGTACAGGTTGCTGCCCAGTCCTTACTAGCGAGTCTGATCTCCAGTGAGGAAGAAATTCAGGCTGTGGTTTCATAATGTGGCAATTATGTGTGTGTGCCCAATGTGTGCAGTTTTAATGCATCTCGGTGCTAAATGAAAAACAACTAAGTCATACAATACAAATCCTTTAACAGACAAAAATAAAAACAAAATAAATAGTTGATACAAGTCCATTTAATAATTTCGAAAGGGCAAGTTTTAACAGCAGACTCTGGCTGGATGTTGTAACGTCTGTCTTCTCTAGCTAACTCAGCATTTCACCACAGGCCCCAGCTAACTCAACATAAATGCTGCTGCATTCTCCCTCTCCATCCAGATCACAGACTGACAGGTAACTGAGCACTGCATAAAACCAATTCTACTGAATACACAACTATGGCCTCAGGCTCCACAAAGCATTAAATATCTGCCTTCCCTTCCCAAATGAAAGCTTCAGGTTCTAACTATGTGGGTATCAGTAGAATCAAAAAATCTTAAAAAAAAAAAAACAGATAAACAAGCAGACAAACAATCATAATTTTCTATTACTTTCTGGCCCTGATAAATGGCCCCAAGTTAAAAGTTATTTATCTTGTATTTAACCAGAATATTATACAAAGGCTACATATTTAACTGCTGCATACAGGTGATCAATCTCCAAAACAAAAATGTTTTTAATATCAAGAAAAATAATGGCATAAAAAGAATAATTACAAAATCATTGAGGTTTACGAGTACAACTGCTAAATTTATCAAAGTGTTGATAGATACATAGCATGACATCAGACTGAAGGGCATCTCTAGGGTCACTATATTGCTACAAGGACCTTCAGCAAAAATACATGTGTAAAACAGTTATTAAAAGTAAAGCATTTTATTAATTATAATTAGTTAGCTCTACAAGAGCAGAACAGCCTAAAAAGCTTTAATTCAAGCTTTTAATTAAAGCTTCCTAAGCTTCAACCATCAGCTACAGTAAACAGCTTATTCCTGTAGAAGACTAACAAAACAAGCATAGTCATAGCTAAATCTGAGGTCAAATCCAATTCTGTAAGTAAACTGAAATACAGAAGACTAATCTGAACCCAATGGCTAAACTGACCTACTTGCACAATCTTTACCAGCTTGTAGTCTCCACCATCAAATGACAAAGGCCCACTAAGAACCAGTACAATTTTCCTAGTAGCCCAAAGGTGCTGGATACGGTTGGCACCATCTTTCTGAATGCAAGCTATTAAAAAAAAAAAAAAAAAAAAAAAGAAGTAGATTTGGGAAGGAATTAAACAGACATGAGGCCTGCAAACTTCCTAATTAACCAAGATGATGCTAATGGGTTCTAATCCAATAATAGCAGAGATAACTAGATGATAGAGTATTCCACAACTCCTGTATGTCAGGCTGAGTCAGAAGGAAAGATTAAAAAAAAAAAAACAAACCAAAAACCAACCACCCCACACACACAGCTTCACTGGTTTGCCTTCTCACTAAACACCTTCATTGCTGCTATTTTTCAAAAGAAAGGTACAGTTCAAGTTCTATACTCCAGTTTAAACTGCAAAGTTGATTCTAGGCCCACAAATGTCCTATGCTCTCAGTGATATCACCTTTTAAATTTATACCTGGACAAAATAAATATCCATCATATTCAGAGTTCAACCTCTGTGAACTTTTGTTGGAGGGGAAGGAATCAGAAGCATGAACTACTTTCCTGCCCTTAATGAAATGTAAACCAGAAGCATAAGGTGTAAAAGTTTACAGCCATGTGTATTGTTGATAACGTAATACCAAGTTATCCCATGTATCTATAAAAATAAATGAGATATTACATCCTATTTCTCCACTGTGAAGCAGCACAAATACCGGTCTCAGAAAGAATAACCATTCCAGTCCAAACAAGCCCCTAAGTTCTTCCACCTTAAAAGCAGATTTCCTAGACTGAAAAACACCCAATAAGCATTGACAAAGACGAGTAAGAGGGCGAGGGCACAGACAGGAATCGGTGTTCTTTAGCTTGCCGTGCCCTCACTCCAAGTACAAACTCAGGGCACTCTGAGGTTCTCTGTCGCACGTAACAAGTAACAACATGCTATAGGGGTATTAGATTTCAGGGTTTTCATGCAAGTTTATTATTTCTACTGCTAAGCAGCATAACTTCTTCCCCAAACTAACATTCTTCTTTATGAACTTATTTAGCAGCCTATACAGACTACTTCGCGGCCATGACTTCCAGCGAGGCCACTGTGAACGCCAGCTCAGCCCGGGCCGGGCCAGCACCCACTCACTCCTCCTCTCTCGCAGGTGCTGCGATACCACACCCGCAACAGCGCGGGGCACGGTGCCAGCACCCACAGCACCAACACCACCCCCTGCGAAACACCGCACCTTGCATCAGCCACAGAAACACGGGCAGATGATGACAGAGAAGGAAGTTGGCAAACGCCAGCGGCCAGGGCCAGGGCCAGG